TCCTCTCCTCTCCTCTCCTCTCCTCTCCTCTCCTCTCCTCTCCTTTCCTTTCCTCTCGTCATGCACCAGAATCAAGTTTATTTTCTCCGCAGATGTCAAAGATGATGACACTCACTCCCGTATCATGGCTGTCAACGAGGCTCACAAAAAGTACCAGGATGAGGCGCAAAAGAAACAGCCAATCGACGTGGAGGAGAACATCGTAGAGACGAACATGGGTATTTTTTTACTTAAATTATTACATTAAATTTTCGCATAATAATAATGTAACTTTTTTAATGCACTAAATAAGCAGATAGATTAGAGACCTGGCGGGATGGTGGGTAGTCTCCCCCACAGCCGCTTTCAGTGTCGTCACGCAACGCTTTCTCTCCTACTCAGGGGAGAAAGCGTTGCGTGACGACACTGAAAGCGGCTGTGGGGGAGACTAGATGGTAGGAGGACTGGCCTGATAATGGAATGATCACTTTGTTCAAATCATTTTAACAGCATGAAAATCATTCCTTACTTTTCTCACTCTTTCTATAGAACAAAGTGTTAATAATCTTTTCGAGGGTGACATAGAACTGACACCAGAGCAACAAGAAATGATACGACGAACAGGGTCTTTGAACAAAAGAACGGCGGGTCAAATAAGTGTTTATTCCCTGTGGCGTAATCGTTTGGTTCCTTACATGATCGCATCTAGTTTGAGTAAGTAATGATTCAGTTTAAATCAGCTGGTGTTGAATATAAGACCTCTTTACCTTGAGCGTGATGTTTTGCTATTTCAGGTCACGCAGATGTTTCCCTCTCCACGAGAGGGAAACCTTGCGTGACAGACCCTAAGGATGGCTGCGTAGGAAGAAAAAAAAACTTGTTATGGCTAATCACCACCGCGAAGTACAGCAGTAGGCAGATTAAGATTCCCGTTTTTCCTTCCCGCAAACGGCAAACGTGACCACGTTTTCATCGTTTCCACTTTACCTTTTGCAAACCTTCTCAACAAAGACAAGTATTCTTTTGTTTATCTACTACTTAGAGATTTTTGCGATTCCTTTTCACTAATTTTAAAGAATTTTTTAATGGTCAACTGACGTTTCATGTTTACCGTAAACGAGAATCTTAAACTCTCTAGTGACGCAGCTCAACGAGGTCGAACTGAAAGTATGTGAAAATGCCTCTGGCAGGCGCTAGACAGTCAATATATGAAAATAAGACTTGTTTGAGTTGTATCCATATTCATGTGTCTTCTAATGTCCATGGAAGCGCAAGATCTAGACCTCATAACCAATTGGGATATATATCGGCGTGAATGTAAAAGCGGCAACACATATTACAAGGCTACAGTACCAATTGACAACATACTTTTACCAATCACAGTGCGCGTGAGACCACTGCTCATCCAATTAGAATGCTCGGACACGGCACCGCCATCGTACAGTGATTTTTCATTCTCATACATCATTTGCTCTAAAACTAAATACCGTATCTGGTATTAATGTCGCTTTCTGGTTGGTAGAGGGCCATGCTTTATGAAAGAACACAGCATGCGCGCGCTGCTCCTAGCTTCTCATTTGTTTAGCCAATCTATTCCCGCGTGCTTTATAACTGTATACAGCACGCGCGCGCTTTTCAGTTTTATTCCTTCAGCATAGTTTTAATGCTTACGAACTCGAAGTCGCTCTCCAGGCTCCTGAATATAGGTGACACATAAAGTTTATTTTGATCTTTACTGATAATAATCTTCTAGAGAGTAAGCGCCATCTCATCAGAGAGGCTGTGAGGATCTTTGAACGTTACACGTGCCTAAAGTTCTACGAACTGTCGTCAGCTCCTTCCAATATGAACTACCTGTACATCGACAGACGAGCAGGGTATGTAGTTGGCTATTCAGCTATCCTTCTATCTCCTTTAATCTGCAGGCCTAGGCGTTGTGAGAGATCGAGGTGGGGTGACGTTTTTGCCACGAAAATTCTTAGCCAAATTCACAGGAACCTATCATAAGCATAGGCTTTTTCGTTATCCCTGGAGGTCTTCTTGTGCCGGAAAAGTATTTTAAAAAATATATTATCCGTAGTCATGACATACGTATTAACCAACTAACCCTTTAAATCATTGGCTCATATCTAGATGCCACTCCTTGATTGGGAAGACTTATTCCAAGAAACACCAAGTTCTGTCACTAGGGAACGGCTGCCATGATATCGGTACCATTCTACACGAGATGACGCATGCTATTGGTGAGTACTGACCAATGATTCATGAATTTCGTATTTCAGAAATCAAAGGTGGTATAATGGTAGCTCGTAGTTCACCCGTATTTTGCCTCTGGAATCCGTTTTTGGATTCCTGCACTCTCTATATCACAAGTGAGTAGAATTTGTTGGGTCCCTCTTGAGGCCTCTCAGTAAATGTAAGGGTTGCAGGGTAGCAACTTGACGTTTATTCTCTCATCTTAGGCTTCTATCACGAGCAAGGAAGAACGGACCGAGACAAGTACGTCAGGGTTCTATGGGAAAACATTATTGCAGGTAAACCGATTTGACGACCAATGTACTATTTTCACCATACCTGGGTCATTAACTCTTTTAACTGTCTCCCACAGTCCCGATGAACTTTGTCGACTTTATTTTCCATTCCCAGTTATTTAAACCCCATTGACAGTGCGTAAAATCTAATTTTCCTCAGTTTAGCCGCTCCATTGTTTCTTCCCAGGTCAGGAATATAACTTCGAGCGACATGATATTGGGTCAGTTGGTTCTCTTGGGCTCCCTTATGATTACGAGAGCTTGATGCATTATGGGAAAAGGACTTTTACACGCAACGGTGAGAATACTCTTGAACGTATCGACAACCCGAATGGAAAGCTTGGCAGGACCGGAGGTAGCTTTAGTTCTACCGATAAGGTTGCCATCAATGCACTTTATGAGTGTACTAAATATCCAGGTATGTCGTACTGATATGTTCTGGCTGATACCTTAATGTCTAAGATAGTCTCTCTATTAGAGACCTTTAGCACGACGTCCTTGCTAGACAAACCTCAAACTGAAGTTTGACATCAGGCGTTTTCCGTGAACTTTCGACATTCGGAAAGGCGTCATAACGAAGTTGTTACTGTCGGATCCGCCATATTGAATTTCATTGAAGCTGAGTGTTTCTACGTGTTTGCGGGCGTGTTTCTGGGCCTGATCCCTAGCGGTTAGCGGTAAACCTGATGCTAAAGGTCTCTATTATTGAATGATTTTCTCGCTTCGATCAAGTGAGAATGAAATGCGTCAAGCGGAGGACCCATTTCGAATAATGTTAACATTTGTTTTCTTATTTTAACAGCCGGCTACAGTGGATATTCGAGCTGGTCTGAGTGGTTTCCATGTAACTGGGCCTGCCAACGTACTCGTCAGCGGTACTGTATTGGTGCCAGAAGTGAATATCTCAAGAAGAAGCTTTGTCCGGGATCCGATGAACATGGGGTAGAGCTCGAATATAAAAAATGTGCACCAAGTGAATGTGGTGAGAACCTAACGCAGTGATATGAAAGCTGTAAGAAATATTGTCATACAGCAGTTTTTGCTTGACTGTAAAAAGCTCAGTGCTATAAGCGTGTCGTGCCGTGAACGCGATGCTTTCTAGAATTTTAAGATTTTTTTCTCGAGCAATGTGATTGGTCTGGCGTTAGCCTTGCCGTGTCACGACCGTGTTCGTGCCGTGAATTTTTTTTACAGTTTTACGAAAACTGCTCTAACATACTGGACGTGTCTTTGTTACAGGACCGATCAACGGAGGATGGTCACGATGGAGTCCCTGGTCTTCGTGCAATGCCAAATGCGGTCAAGGAACGAAAACTAGAGACCGTAAGTGCACAAATCCTTATCCGATGCGTAATGGCAAAAAATGTCCTGGAAAAGCAAAAGACACAGAAGAATGTACAGCAGGAAAGTGTAAACTAGGTAAGGTCTGTTTCTTCTTCATGTTGATGCTCCTAAAGTGTTATAATTCCATTATCTCTCCCGAGATTCGAGATTTCAACTCCGGGTTCAAAACCTATCACACTACATTTCAATTCGATCTGTGAGTTAGCCGTGCCCCAGAGATTGTTCCAAGGCTTTTACCATTCACTAAGGAAGAAAGAAATTTGCCAAATTGAACGCAACCTCAGTCCTACCTTACCACGAGTACCTTGCGCTTTCCGTGTCACTTGGGTTACGTTATATTCATATTTAGTAATTATGTATGATGCTTGAACTTTTTCTGTAGCATACTACGAGACGCAGTTTGAAGGTAACATGGGATCTTGGAAATCTGAGGGACCGGGTTACCTGAAGTGGGTGTTAGAAGACATCTGGAGAAGGCCTGGGCCAAAAGCTGACCACACCAATGGAAATTTTAGAGGTATTTAATATAAAAGCGCTATATTTCAGTAAACTAGTCAACTTATCATGATATCACTGTACTACCATAAACATTGTAGCCTGTTCTTTCGAAAAGGGAATGTTCACCTATACTATCAACTAACTTCAATGATTTTTTCTTCACATAGGAGGGTATCTCTACTTGCCTACGGGTCCTAGCTCTATTTTCAAAGGCAAAGCAAAGTTCAAAAATACTTTTGGTTGGAGCGACAAGCCATTTTGTTTAACATTTTACTACCTCATGGATGGCCCGTCTGTCGGCACCCTGTCCATTGTTATTCGAATCCTTATGGGAAATAATGATAAATCATGGACCGTTTTCACCGCTAGTGGCTCCAAGGGAAGACAATGGCATTTTGGAAGTGCCTTCATTAACGTGATTAACAAAAATTTCGAGGTTTGTTTGTTTGTTTCTTGTACAGTATTGAAGTTCATCCTAGACAGAAACGAGTTAGAGGTTGACGACTAATTTATCGTATGTATACTACGTAATCTCGTTCCCAGGTTTCTCCGGTTCATCGTCGCCCCGCCCGCCCAAAACTAGGAAGAGGCTGGGGGACTAGAGGACGAAATTAGGGTACTGGGTAAAGTAATTGGGTCATAGTGGGTGGAAAGAAATCGGTAATAATATTGAAGATTGCGGGCAATCTGTTCAATCTATTTAAGATAAAAGACAAATAAAACAGAAACATGACTAAAATTAAATAGGAGTAACACTAGTAAGACTAACCCTGGACTACTGACATCCCGGTATAGCACTAACACACAGTCGGGCCTTTTAATTTCGATGTCCAAGTTTTTTCCGACTGAGCTACGTTTATGGGAAGCTCAGTGAACTCGAATTAGACTTGATACAACTCTCGATCGCCTTTTTTTCCGCTGCAAACTCGGATTCAATTAGTAAGCACTTCCGGTTACGATGACTTTCCGAGGGAAATGGCGCGAACAAAACGAGAAGGTGAGCGAATTAACTCGAGAAATGAAGTGCTACCTGTATTAGCAGACACCTTGGGAATCTTGCTCGGCGTCTGCTTAACAGAGGTTCGTTTTACAGTAAATATATGGGAAGCACATTTTGGGACCGTGCACCTAGCTGTCCTTTTAATAAAAGGTGTCTTCTTATAGTACCATACTCTATAGTTTTTTTCAAACATTTGAAATCTGAGATATGCATTTGGTATTCCATAGGTATCATTTGAGGGTTCTGGTAATGGTAGAAAGGAACAAGGCACTATCGCTTTAGATGATCTGTATTACTATACTGGACGGTGTCCAAACACTCCAACAGGTACGACATGGAGTGAACTACCTTTCGTATTGAATTAACTTTATATGAAAAATGTAGATGAAGGTAAACTTTGTACTAATCGAAATCGAGAGAACACCAAGGAGTCACCACAGACAGATGGTGCCTATTTGGAGCTTCTGTAACATGATGGCCGGAATGACCATATGAGTATCACTACTATCCCTGGATGGGATGCTGTTCCATCACAGGGTTACTCTCCTCCTTCGCTGTATCCTGCTACGTGATCAACTGCAGTAACATGAAGTACTAGGAGTATCACTATCATCCCTATATGAGATGCATGCTGGTCCACCACAGGGTCACTCTCCTCCTCCCCTGTATCTTGCTACGTGATCAACTGCAGTAGCATGTCATGACTAGGAGTATCACTATTCCCTCTGGATGGGATGCTGGTCCATCACAGGGTTACTCCCTCTCCCACTACCACTAACCATAAGTGCCTCGCGCAGTTGAAATACTCAATGCATTCTGTTTTGTTAAAGCGAAGCCAACAGTTCCTCCATGTATTGATATTGAAATGAAGTGCAAACAATGGGCCTATGAAGGAGAATGTGCTAGAAGACCGAAATTCATGACTGAATTCTGCAGAAAGAGCTGTGTATGTTCACGTAAGTTTCCGACCTTTTTGCCAAATATATGTGATTCAGATGGGAATGCGAATGATTTTTGGGGGGGGAGGAGGGGGGAACTTTAGAACATGTATCTTTTGTACGAGTTAACGGGTTAAGTTCATATCCACAAATAGTAAAGACTATATATACAGAAGAAATCTAAATCTAAATCTAAATCTGGATCGTGGTTATATAAAGAAAGTGAAAGAAGATTCGAAAAGGAGAAATCAGTGAAGAACAGCGTGAAGAATTTTCAATTTAATTTTTGATCCCATGCTGAAAATGCCATGCGCCATCGATCTTCATCGTTGATTATAGCTCCGTCGCACGACCTAACCTGATCCTATATATCACCATGATATTCCTTATTTCTCCTCGTCCATAACCTAATGTATATCTACGCATACTAGGAAAATCCTTTGAATAGACGCAATGAAAGAATAAAATATTTGATTTGCTTGTTTGTAGCTGTCAAGTGCAAGGATACTAACAAGAAGTGTTCTTATTGGACGGGTATTGGTGAATGCAAGAAGAATGCCGGTTGGATGAGGAAAAACTGCTGCGTGTCATGCAGGAAAGGTGAGTGTAGGGTGGTCTAGTGCACTCACAAAAAGGGAGCCAACTCTTCCCAAGGGTGGAGGGGCAATAGATGCACAATAAACCGCTTACAGGTTAAATTACTAGTACAACACCACCACCAGAATCTACTGCAAAGTTTCATCCTTATTCCAATTTTTATCACTAATATGAAGTGGTTTTGTTTTTTATCTCAGAGCTCTCGTGCACCGACAAAGACCAGAAAAAATGTTCAAATTGGGCAAAGAAAAATGAATGTACCAAAAACTCTGGTTGGATGCTCAAAAACTGCTGCAAGTCTTGTAAAAAAGGCAAGATTTTTGTTTGCGTTTTAGAAATGTATTGTTATTGTGTATGGTAATAATCCTGATGCAAGAAGTAGGAAATGAAGGAATTGAGGCAAGGATTGAAATTTTTGTCCATCTCAGAACCTCTGGATTGGCTTGTCTACAAGTAGATCGCTTGTAAATTAGATTTTAAGTTATACTTTTTTCTACAGAACTGGCCTGTACTGATGACAACAAGAACTGTTCAAGATGGGCAGGGAAGGGTGAATGTAGTAAAAACCCTTCATGGATGAAAAAACACTGCTGCAAGTCTTGTAGGAAACATGGATAACTTTCTGATGGACGGACGCGATTTATTAGTGATGGTAACAATGGATCAAGAGACTCAATGTTATATAGGAGAAATGATACTCAATGAAATACTAACGTGTAAAAATCAAATTGAACAAAATATCGAGATGGCAAATGCTTTTTTTAAAAATCTGTGAAACAGAATTTAAAATTAAACTAAATTAATTTGCAGTAAATTGAGTAAAAAATTCAATTTCTCTATTGCTATTCAGTACAAAATAGTGCTAGCTATGTTTTTCCATTAAATAGTCACTAAGCCTGTTAGTACACATCTTAACTTCTCTAATCCTATATTTTTTTAACATTTATGAAACACTTTGTTATCATTTTTGTTATAATTTTCATGATTTACCCAATGGAATTWAAAAAATCATACTTCTAGGGCTGAATAAATCTTATATTTTTTACAGAGATCTGTTATCAAAAGTTTAGAAAACTCATTAATAATTCATGAAGAAAACACAATAGAAATCATGACCATGAAGGAGGTTTTATATCTAATATAGATTCGTCTTCATTTGCATAAACTTTAACTTGGATTTTCTCTATCAAACTTGGTTCATTTCGTAAAGAATTCCGTATTTCAGTACAATATGAGAACATACATCATGAGTTTTCTAAGCTGTTCAATAAACTCGCAGATCGTGTTTTATCGGGTCTAAAACCACTCGGCTACGCCTCGTGTTTTATACCCGATAAAACACTCCTGCTCGTTTATTAAACAGTACATAATCCACAAAAAACTATAGAAGAAAGATCAAAGAAATATTTCGTATAATGACGTCATAGTTCATGAATTACGTCATAGTCGCGAAAATAGTGCGCGCATGGTTACATCGACCAATGACGCGCGCGCCTAAAAATATAAAAATAGAAACAGTTTGATGGGCTGGGAGATTAAGAATATTGTAATAGTTCTGCTTATCGTATCGCCAGTCTTTTCTTATGCAAGTGATCGAAAGCCCAAAGTCAACGACTTAGTCGGCAGTTTTGCTATCAAACTTGATGAACTGCGTCGAGATTGTCTTGGTGTTGAGCTAATCCAAGTAAGTTAAATAAATAATGACAACAAATAAATTGAATACATTGCATCAGTTTTATGTCAAGGATTTGGTTCAAATTAATTATTTCAGTCACTCAATGTCACTTCAAATCAAGTTCTTGTTTTTGATGTTATAAACTAGTTCACTTAGATTTTGTCGTTGAGATGAGAATCTTTGTCAAAGCATACATTTTAACTTAGACGTAATGTTTTCCCTTTTTATTTTGCTCATGCATTACAATAATTTCTCAGTATACTACGATTGATTAAAATGTATGTTAAGGGATTTTCCAAAAGATTCCCGGTAAACGAAACCAATGTAACTCAAGGGGAACCACACAGCCATGGCGAACAAAACAGTGCATCAGGTTCACTATCTTAGAAAATATCTATAAGAAATATTTTGATGTAGTCTCAGTAATAAGAAGGGTGGTGGCTTCTATTCTGTTCCGACCCGGGAGAACCGAGACTATACTCCTTTCCAATTCGGTTTTAATGTCGTCACGCCGGTCGGAATGACGACACTGCAGAATCGCATGCTGAGGAGAATAAGAAAAACACTGATATGTCTGTGTTAAAATGATACAGAATGAAGTCAATGAAAAAGTAAAAGCAGTTAAAGATGTCGTCGACGGAAATAAAATCATCAAGCAACTATCAGACGTTATACGACATCGATTTTCAGATAGAATAACAGCCCTGCAAGAGTTAAAACGAGGAGTCGAAGAAGACTATGCCAGGAGCTATGGTAAGAGTTACTTCGTAGTAACAAACAGATACTATACCTTACATACGGCTCATTTGAAATTCGATGTTTTAACAAGACCTTGGTCTTAGTTTACGAAACGGACCGTCGAAAAAAGACTTCAAACATTGCGTCACGGTTTTTCTGTTTAGCTGATTGTCGCATTTCATTGGCTGAGAATTTTTACTAAAAGCGCAGAGGATATAATATTCAGTTCTGCGCTACATCGACGAAAGTACGTTTTTTTCAAATATAATTTTAAAAAAATAATCCAAACCTGCAAATTTTATCGATATTCTGTAACAATCTGAGAACTTATCTAAGTCAGGGCACGGCTAACTCAGTCATAGTTCGAATTGGAATTTAGATTAGAGAGGTTTTATGGAGGAATCAAGGGAGAGACCTAAACTCTAGTCACATGTGATACCGAGTGCGGTCAGAAATGAAAATGAGAACCGAGAGGAGAGGCTTGTGCACTACCGCTACGCAATGCACCATTGATTCCCTTATGATATCTATATTTAATGCTGTCCCATATAACCTAACCACATGTAAACGCTTCGTATATTGCTTATAGCTAAGTGAATTTGTTTCAGTTGACCAGCACCCATGCTGTAATCTTCCATTAAATTCGGTCAAGTACGACCCTCGATTCAAGGCCAATATCGACTCAGGTCTCTCGTGTGAATTGAGGTCTCAAAAGTCAAAACAATCCGCGAGGGGACTGGGAGACAATACTATGGAAGCAATGTACAAAAACTTGAAAAAGGTATGACAACTTGATTAATAATTATCGTTCAGTAACGTTTATCATTTTCTAAATTTCATGCCAGAGTTGGTCTCCACTGCATGCCCCGTCGAAGAAAATCGCTTTGATTAAATCTTATAGGTCGTACGTAACGATTGTTTTGGAATTGACATTGTGATACGATGGTGATCGCAATGAATTCCATATAAAATTCATAGTTCATTAAATTTTATAGCGCAGTCGAGAATGGCAAAATGTGAGGTGCGCAGTGCGGTGTCAAATCTGCGTACTACTCTGTGCACAACCGCAAAACGTTTCCAGAGTATCCATCCACCTCTCCATGAATCAATAATCAGTCGCCCCGACATTCTGCTAGCTGATGCTTCTATACCTTTCAGAATCATCGTCTAAAATGGCAGTACTTTGGCTCAACAGAAGGGATAACCACAACGTTCCCATCACGTCCTGTAAAGGACTGTGGACAGTATGACAACAGGTTAAGGCCATGGTATGTGATGACAGCTAGCCCGTCTACCAAGAACATTGTTATTGTCCTTGATACAAGTAGCTCGATGGCTGCATCCATTACCTTAGAGGGAAATAGGACCACTAGGCTTGAGGTTGCTAAGGATGCTGTGACATCCCTTTTGAATGCTTTGTCGCCGGAGGATCAGGTTTGTGTTTTTTAAAGTTTAACTGGCACCTACAGTGCTCTAGATCTTCTGGGGTGCCCTCCACCACACCCTGGAGAGCCAGAGATCCCATGTAGCAAAGGTTACACATCCAACACTTTCGCCCAGTGCATTCTATTCTTCCTTAGTTGACATGCACTTACGGCAAGACAATTAACACGTGAATCCGAGGGTTTTCTCGTGCACTCGTCGTCCCACCTCTGAAAGCATGGTAGTTTTAATCATACTATTATGAAGTTCTACTTTTCACAGGTTGGAGTTGTGTTGTTCAATACTAAAGCGAATTTACCAGGCAAAGTAGGCGAAGATGACTGTTTCCAAAAAGGACTTGCAAGAGCTACGTCCTTTAACTTGAAACACCTTGCGAGCTTTGTATCTGAAGCAAAGCCAGGAGGTATGCTAATGATTAATGTCCTGATATCAATCAGCTGAATGTAACTCGCAAATATGTGAATATGATATAATGTACCTTGCAATGCACGTCATGTGGTACTATCATTAATATGTCCCTATGTCATGTATCTCGCAGTACCCGTCACGTGCACGGTACTATCATTAATATGTCCCTATGTTATGTATCTCGCAATACGCGTCATGTACCTCGCAGTGCTGTGGTATCATCCTTAATGTTCCTATGATATCATGTACCTTGCAGTGCCGTTCATGTGGTATCACCCTTAATATGTGCATATATATATTGGGTTACAGGAGGAACTAACTACGAAAGAAGCTTCGACGCCGCATTTAGTCTTCTAAAAAAATCAGTAGATAAAGAAAGAGGCGACAAGAGAAGGCAGTCAGTCATCTTGTTTATTACGGACGGCGCACCCAAGGACCTATCAGATCCAATATTCCAATCAATAAATACCCACCAAGATAAAATGTACGCTGATAATACCAGAGTGTTGATCCTGACGTATGGCATTGGCAAGGATCACGAGATGACAAAATTTTTGAAAAGACTATCAAAGGAGACGGTGGGTTATGGCAGCTTGTTTTAGTTCTTGGAATTAAGTAAAAAGGGAAATGTTTGTCTCATAGACTTTCAGCTGATCTGAAACAGTGACGTAGAAATGACGTCACTGTAAAACTGAGGGGTCATGAAGCCGCGTGAAAATTTATCAGTGAAGAATAGAAACCTGCCCACTATTGCAATAATAATAAAACTAATTTTTTTAGTTATTGTTTTACTGTTATTAACCCTTATTAGCAACGTTATGTATTTCATTTGGTGGCCTGGAAAACAATAATTTCAAGTGGACAAGTGACACCTCTTATTTTTCTCAAACTGAGGAGCCAGAAGTCCAGAATAGTTTTGGATTACTTTTCAAAGGGCCATTTTTAAATCATTTTCCTTTATATCAAAAAATTTCTAGACCCCCACTGTCTTCAAACCGGTCGAGAACATTGCCAATCTTCACGCTAAACTCTCTACATACTACGAGCATTTGGAAGGAGCCAAGATCACTTCTGTCAAGACATACACTTCCGTCTCCTCGCCATACCTCGATGCGTGGGGCCTGGGTAAGATGATGTATTTCTATTGGTTTTTTTATTTTAAATATTTGCCTTTAAACTCTCTCATGCATTTTTCATGAATCAGATTGAAGATGATGTTTCGTAATTCTCATAAACGTATTCCAATTGGATTGAATAAATTAAATGTTTTATCGAAACCTGTTCAGAAAAGTAAGCAGAGTTTATTATGAATATCTATGAGAAAAAAATCTATTTATCTGAAGTGAGTTCTGCAACATTTTACTGGATTGAAACGTCAATCAAAGAGATAATTTATTCATCTCGCAAGAAGTTTGAACGAGTCAATGAGTTCCAAGCAAAGAGGTTCAAAAAGTGCGCTTTTTCGCCAAGAAACACAATACAATCATCGTAAGAAATTAAAACTGGTTACTTTAAAGCTATTTTCAACAGTCAAACCCTGAAACAACTTCAGGCCGGGCACGGCTATCTAACGAAGTTTAGCGTCTTTTAGGCCCTGGCTAAACGAGGAAACATGTTTCCAGAAACATGTTTCCCTAAATGTTTCCTAAGGTGGCAAAACTGTCAGGAAACATCAGGAAACAATGTTTCCATGCGTGTTGAAAAATGAAATGTTTCTGCCGCACAGCAAAAACACTTTTTGCGTCTTGGAAGCAAAATTTGTTGCACGCATCAATGCTTCGCATATGGCTAAACTGGGAAACATCGAGGAAACATGCGCGCGGTAAACATGTTTCTGGAAACATGTTTCCTCGTTTAGCCAGGGCCTTAGGTCTTGCATAGGGCGGAAAAACCTGAAAACCTGAAAAAACCCTCGACTGAATAAAGGGAAGGACTTAACATAATTTGATTAGATGTGATCCCGACTCTAGCTATTGAGCACGAGACCCCACAAGTGAGGAGAATGCACCACCGCAAGGCCCTCTTTGTCTAAACTCCTCTGTTTTTAATCTTTTCTTGCTTGTAGGAGTCCTTATAACTGTAGCCATCCCATGTTTTCGTGATGGAGTCTTGAAAGGAGTCGCAGGAACCGATATCACACTTACTGATCTTCTTTCTGACGTCCAGTACTTCAATCATGCTGGAACCGATTCCTACTCCTTCATGGCACACCTCCATAATGGCATCGTACTTAGTCATCCTCTCATGCCTCCCCCGGGAGCTATCACTGAAGATCCAGCTCTCATTGATATCTTCAAGCTCGAACAGGGGCAGGCGTTCAAGCGGTTCTTTGGAACACTAAGAAATCTGCAGTAAGTGTTGTGGTCAAGTTCAAAACCATCTTGACAATAACTTATTAGCTCTACATCTTCTCTCAACAATCGATGGAAAATGCTTGTGGAATAAACTTTTCAGATAAATTGCTTGTTATAGTACACGAATTATAGGAGGGAACTCAAAATTTAAAGGCAAGCGGATTAGAAACTTCGATAAAAGTTTGCGAGGTCAATAGGGATCAAACTGCGTAACTTGTTTTTGTGGTAACCGTAAAGTACCTCTCACATGGGTACGTGTTCACAGTGATTTGATGTTGTGTAATGTGGTGTAGTGTGGTGTGATGTGGTGCAATGTGATGTGGTGCAATGTGGTGTGGTG